CCTATGCAAACTGGGATTAAAGCTGTAGATTCTCTAGTACCTATTGGTCGTGGTCAACGTGAATTAATTATTGGAGATAGACAAACTGGAAAAACTGCTCTTGCTATTGATACAATTATTAATCAAAAACGATTTAATGATGCTGGAGAGGAAAAGAAAAAATTGTATTGTATTTATGTTGCTATTGGTCAAAAGAGATCTACTGTTGCACAAATAGTAAAACGCTTGACAGATAGTGGAGCTATGGATTATACTATTATTGTTTCTGCAACAGCTTCTGATGCAGCACCTCTTCAATATCTGGCACCATATTCCGGATGTGCAATGGGAGAATTTTTCAGGTATGTTTATGTAAAATAATTTCCTTAAATAATATTTATTTTTTTTTTTGTATTATTTTAAATATTATAATAATAAAATAATTTTTTAGGGATAATGGAAAGCATGCTTTAATTATTTATGATGATTTATCCAAACAAGCTGTTGCTTATCGACAGATGTCTTTATTGTTAAGACGACCACCAGGTCGTGAAGCTTATCCTGGTGATGTATTCTATCTTCATTCTCGTCTTCTTGAACGAGCGGCTAAAATGAATGAAAGTTTGGGAGGTGGTTCATTAACAGCTTTACCTGTCATTGAAACACAAGCTGGTGATGTGTCTGCATATATTCCCACAAATGTTATTTCCATTACTGATGGACAAATTTTCTTAGAAACTGAATTATTCTATAAGGGTATTCGTCCTGCAATTAATGTAGGTTTATCAGTATCTCGTGTTGGTTCTGCTGCTCAAACTAAGGCTATGAAACAGGTATTTCTGATGATTTCTTATTAATTCTTATATATTTTCTGAAATTCTAAATAACTTTTATGTTTTATTTAATAGGTTGCTGGTTCTATGAAATTGGAATTGGCCCAATATCGTGAAGTTGCAGCTTTTGCTCAATTTGGTTCTGATTTGGATGCTGCAACACAGCAATTGTTGAATCGTGGTGTTAGATTAACAGAACTTCTTAAACAAGGACAATATGGTAAAAATTTGTAATATGTATAAATGATGAATTTAAATTATACATATATATAAAAAATCTAATAAAAAATAAAAAATATTCCTTAATGTTTTTAGTACCTATGGCTATTGAAGAACAAGTTGCTGTTATCTATTGTGGTGTTCGTGGGTATCTTGATAAAATGGAACCTACTAAGATTACAGCTTTTGAAAAAGAATTTCTTGCCCACATTAGGTATTTAATTTAAAATTCTATTATACATATTTATTTATTTAAATATATTTTTGTATTATATATTTATTTAATTTCATATTTTTTCAGAACTAGTCAACGAGATCTTCTTAATACTATTGCTAAAGATAACACAATTAGTGAAGCTTCTGATGCAAAATTGAAGCAAGTTGTTACTGACTTCCTTGCTTCTTTTTCAGGCTAAATATCAATATAAAATAATTAATAATTCTCTGCTATGCAAGAGCCACATGCAAATAATATTCATTATTATATAATTTTTAATGTATAATATTTGCACATTATAAATAACATTAAAGAATTCCATATTTAAATATTAAAACACAATAGTCATACAAATATTTATAAATACTATATGTTGACTCTTATTATCAAGAATAATTTTGGTAATTAAAAAAATATTTCTTCTGAAGAAAGTTTCATAGCAGAATAGAAATAGGAAAAGTTAAAAAATGAGTAATAAAATTCTAGAGTTTTTCAAATCTGTGTTATTTATTTCCCTTGTACAGTTATAATGTACAAATATATTTTATTTTTACAATAAACTTTATTTTCAATCCATAATTTAAAATATTATTTAATTTATGCATTTTCTCAATATTTATGTATATTTTTATGTGATTTTAGTCTTTAAATAAGTATAATCAGTCATATAATCTTAGAGTAAGTATAAACAAGGTTCTAACCATTACAAATACTATAGTCTTCTGAATTAAATCGATAACATTGAAAGTGACATTGAAATAGTTTAATTCTCGAAATATGGGAGAAAAAAATATACTAAATGTATTTAGATAGGTTTATCTGTTACACGTTTGTTCTCGAAGTAGAATACACAAAATATATTTCATCGGACATATACTATATCCAATCTGTAATAAATTATAAAAGCTAAAGGAATTTGTGGTTTATTAAGCATAGAAAATGCATTGAATATTAGGTCTATTCTATATTTTATCTAATCTAAAAAAATAGTGATAAATTGTAAGGAACTAAAAATTTAATATAAAAATAAAAAATCTATAATGAATACATATATATATATATATATAATTAATTTGAAGCTTGAATTATAATAAGTATCAAATTGTTAATTATTTAAAAAAATACTTTTCGTAAATAATAAAACACAATTGATAAAATTGTTTAATTTGACATAATTTAATTCGAAATTAATTTTTAAGGTATTTATCATATCATATTAATCATTGTTCTATGATATGTCGTCAAAAGTGTTTTAAAAATAATTAATGTCTAATTTTTGCAAATGTTAGTGTTTAATTTTTGAAATCTAAAAAGAAAATAAATTATCATTTTAATAAAGAAATATGACTTCTATTAATGAAGTTAGTTCAATACCTAAAACGAAAAAACCTTCGGGTAAGTTTTATTATGAAAGTTCATTTTTTTATTAGGTTATATTTATTTTATTTAGATTTTATATATATGAAGATATTATACAAAATTTAATTTAATAATAAAAATAAAAGATTTGTTATTATCTTTATTAAAATATAATATTTTTATTGAGTAATTCTATGTATTCTTTTATATATGTATATTATTTGAATGTGGAATTAAATTTATCTTTATTATTTATTATAATATAAATTATTTATATATAATATATAAATTAATAATAAATAGTTAATAATTTATAGCAAATGTTTTATTTAATACAGACAGTGCATTCAAACAGCAACGTTTACCTGCTTGGCAACCAATACTTACTGCTGGAACTGTTTTACCAACATTTTTTGTAATTGGTATTGCTTTTATACCAGTTGGAGTTGGATTACTTTATTTTTCTGATCAAGTTAAAGAATATATTTTAGATTATACTGATTGTAATTCTACAAATATTAATCATACAAAAGGAATGCCTGTTAAATGTGCTGATGTTATAGCAGAAAATCGTTCAAATATTTGTAATTGTGAATTAAACTTCACATTGCCTTCTGACTTCAATGGAAAAATTTACATGTATTATGGTTTAACTAATTTTTATCAAAATCATAGAAGATATGTAAAATCAAGGGATGATAATCAATTATTAGGAAAATTAAGTGAAGTTGTCTCAGGAGATTGTGAACCATTTGCTTATGATGAAGGAAAAGCTATTGTACCATGTGGTGCTATTGCTAATTCATTATTTAGTGATGAGTTAAAATTATATTCTGTTAAACATAAGACTAATGTACCATTGTTAGAAACTGGTATAGCTTGGCCTTCAGATAAAAATATAAAATTTAAAAATCCTGAAGGTGATTTGAAAAAAGCATTTGAGAAATTTGCAAAACCAAGGAATTGGAGTAAGCATATTTTTGAGTTAGATAAAAAAAATGAAGACAATAATGGTTTTCAAAATGAAGATTTAATTGTTTGGATGAGAACTGCTGCTTTGCCTACATTTAGAAAACTATATCGCAGAGTAAACCATACAGAAGGTGGTTTTGCTGGAGGTTTAGTAGCAGGAGATTATATACTTACTGTTAATTATAGTAAGTAAAAATTATCAATTGTAAATTGAAATCAAATTAAAAATAATTTTAAATAATAAATATATAATAAATTCCTACTTAATTTTTTTCAGCATATCCTGTGTCTGCTTTTAATGGTAGGAAAAGAATGATTTTAAGTACTACTTCTCTTCTTGGTGGAAAAAATCCCTTTCTTGGTATTGCTTATATAGTTGTAGGATGTATTTGTTTGTTATTAGGCATTATATTGTTAATAATACACATCAAATGTTCTAAAAGGTAAAGATCAATTTATATATTAATTATATTTTTTCTTTTTTGATTTTTACTAAATGGTGTTGTGCTTAAAAGAGGCTTAATTAAAAAAATTAAAAATTGCTTTACAATTCAATTCTTGTTGAACTAAAAGTTTTATAATAAAATTAAAAAAAAAAGAATATACAATATGTTTGTTTTAAAGGATATATGTTTGTTTCTAAATACAATGAAATATTTTTTAAAGAAAGAATGTTATGAAAAAAATATTTTTATAAAAGTTATTTGGTAATATGGTATAAGAAAATATATTATCTTTTATAAGAATATTATCTTTTTATAATAAGTATCTTTTATAAGAATATTTTGTGCATAACATTTCTTATTTCAGTGTATTTAAATAAAACAAATATCTTATATATAAGTACTTCTTTTATCACCTGCATTCATCACATTATTACATTTATTATCAAGCTATTTTAAGAAATTAATGGATTATTAAAGGTATTATTACTTAATAAATTTACTTAATTATATATTATATTTATTTTTTCAGAAAAATAATTAATTAGAAAGCTTGACAATAAGTGCATTTATAAATCTCTATAATATGATATATAATATAAGATTTTAACAAATTTGAAAATATTATTTCTTTAAAAATAATTATATTTTTAAATTAAATTAAGATTAAGAAAATATTTAATTAAAAATTTAAAAATTAAATATGCTTTTTTTTAAATTAATTTATGAATTCATATTTATAATATTATATTGAATTTAAATTTGATAATAAAACTTATATAACATTATATAATGTATGTTATACAGCAAACTAATGTAAAGATGACTGCAACAAAGTATGCTTAGGGCACCGTAATTGTTCTTGTAAGTGTTTGTGATATTGTGTTATGTCTATCCTGCAAGAATGTTAATATTGTTTTATACATGGCTTGATATGAATAGTTTTTAAATATCAAATCTTATTGATTTATTATATATATTTTTTGTATTTAATTTTTATGTTACGAATTAAAGGCTAATCATATGCATGTAGTTATTTATTGTTTTTCATTTTTGATTCTTCAAATTTTTTTATATAACTATAACTCAATTATATTTTTTATTAAAAATTTATATTATTTGTATTTTTATATCATATGCTTCGTATATATGCTTTATATATTGCATAAATATAACCATGCTTTATACATTACATAATATATTTACTAATATATATTTACTAATGTCATATTATTTAAAAGTAATATAAAATAAAAATTAATCAATACAGAATTCAATATATCATTCTTTTTGACATATGTTTAATACATATTTAATCTAACTACTTCAGAGAAATCAGGATTTTATTGATATAATTATATTTAAGTATAAAAACTACATAAAAATATCTAGAAATATATAGCATGTAATTGTTTAGAAGGTAAGATGTAGAAAATTCATTATGTTATATTAAATACTTTATTAAGAATTTAGTCAAGATATTTTATTTGCATTGAATTGTTAAATTTTTTTTTTATATGTAGAAATAATTTTTTACATACTTTAAGAATTTTGTATTATAATTTATTAATAATTTATTAATATTTTTTGTAATTTGATTATATAATTTTATTATATATTTTTTAGTGTAACAGAGATGATCAATGTAACTTCAAATACACCATATCAAGAATAATTATGCATATTTATCATAAAAATTGGAGAACATTCTGGATTTTTGCATTTACTTTGTAAGTGTTAATATAAAATAATTTAATATAACTTAGAAAATGTATAGATAAAATTGATAAATATATTGATAAATAATAATATGATAAATGTTAGATAAAATTTTAATTATGTTTTTAAAAAAAGAAACATATTAATTCAGTTTTATTTTATATTTTTAAAAAATTGTTTATTAATCTCTTTTTTAATTTTTCTTGTTTATTAATTTTTTTGCCATTCTTATTATATTATATTATATTAATGATTATTTCATCAAAAGAATATTTTAATTATTGTTATATAATTTTGTATAAAGATTATTAAGAAGTAAACATATAACACAGGATTTACATATACATAATGTAATATGTATATACATAAGATATATATAATATATATTTTGCATAATATATATAATTTGCAAAAATTTAAATTATAACTATTTATATATTTTTCATGTACATGTATTGAGATACTCAAATCATAAGTTATAAAATAATGTAAAAATATTAAGAAATTTCATTTTTAAAATATTAACAAGTTAATTTAATTTATAATATAATATTTGAATAATTTCATTAAAGAATCAATATGTTAAAGAGAATCAGTGTAATTAAAAGAGAAAATATAAGTTATATATATAATCATTAAAAATTTATCATTATATTTTAATTTTTTAAATTCTGAATAAGAATATATACTATTCATAATATTAAAAACAATATAGTTTTTGTGTATCTTAATACATTTTATAATTTAATTTATTGAATAATTATTCAGCATTATTATGTAATATATTTTTAAATTATAACTGTGAAATATTTTTAGTTTTATTCTAGTTATTTACAAATGTATAAACATAAATAAAATCATAATGTTTATTCATATTTATATATGTGTATTTATGAAATTATATTATAAAATAAAATTTATAAAAACACAATATAAATGAATATTTAATATTCATTTATAAGTATATTAACATAATTTTAATATTTAATTTAAATGTAAAATGTAATTATGGTCTTAAATGAATTAATATTGCATTTGTAAGTATAAAAGTATAGTCTTATTATTTATATAAGACTATTTATTTATATTATATATAAAAATAAATTTATTAAATTTCTAGAATGATAATATATATTCCATTTTAAGTACATATATAATTATATTAATTATATTAACAATTTATAATGATATTGTATAAAGTATTAATAATATTAATATAAATATAAAATACATTTTTGTTATTATATACATATTATAATGCATTATAATTATTTATTGTATTATTATCTACATTAATTTGAAAACATATACGACAATATATATTATTTCAAAAAAATATTTCATAAAATCGCGGGACTTCTTAGTAACTAAATTAGGTTTATATCAAAAAGATAGTTCTAATATTGCAGAATTTACTATTGCCACAATTTGTATTTAAAATAGGCTATGATATAATATTTGTTTTATTTTTTTTTTTTATTTATCTTATTACGATTAATTAAATACAATATTTAATAAAAAAAATTAATATTAATTAAAATATTTAAAAATAAATATAAATACTTATATAAATACTTTAATAAATATGTGTAATGTTAAACAATACAAATTAAATTTGAATTAGTTTAGTCTTGTTTTAGTACATACTTCATATATTCAATTGTTCATCATTGGAAATACTGCTTTATGTCATCATATGTTTTCAGCTGCATATTACCCTGAGTTAAGCATTTGTAAGTTGCTTTAAGCAGTGCCGACTCATCGCTGAAAAGATCTTTACCAAAACATCTTTATAGCCTTATTACACCAGATCCTTCAAAGTTTCCTTTATCAACCAACAACGTACCACTAATTCTTCATCTTACAATATGATTATAACACTAAAAAACTTGCAGCAGCAGACATTTACAGTAGAAATTGATCCATCGCAAACAGTAAGTGAATGTAGTAAATGTAAAATATATAGATTTTTAAATATAATCAATTTTAATTACGCCTTTTATAGGTAAGGGATTTAAAGCAAAAAATTGAAACTCAAAAAGGTTTTCCTGCTAAATATCAGAAGTTAATATATGCTGGTGAGCGATATAGCTTACATAACCTTATTTTCATTTGATTGTAAATTTTATAATATATTTTGCTGTTTATAAATTAATAATTTTTTTGATTAAATTTATTTTAATATTGTAAAATAAAAAATTAAAAAATATTAAAATTTATTTCTGTTTTTTCAAATATCATTATATATAATAATGAATAATTTTGTAATGATAATTTAATAATAATAATATATTATTTTTATAGGAAAAATATTAACAGATGATCATCCATTAGCAGAATATAATATAGATGAAAAAAAGTTTATAGTTGTTATGGTAACAAAACTTAAGACTGGTAATGGTCATACAACAACCGATGAAGAACATACAAGTGCAGATAATAAAGAAGAAAGTAGTACAACTAGGTATTAACTAAAAACTATATTTAACAAATATTTTTGATAAGTTGCATATTTTATAATAATTTTTTTAAGTATAATTACTATCTTAGTATAAAGACTATCTTATTAAAGTTTATTTATTTATTTTTTTTATTTGTTAAATTTAATTTCTTAATTGAAATTATTAAAAATATATTCATGAATAATTTTATTTTAGTTGTGTTTTATTATATTATTCTTAACACATGATTTTTGCCATAGCTTAGTAGCACAACCTAGTTCAAATCCTACAGTTCAGGGTGCATCAAGCCCTGGTAATATTATACAAGAACAGTCTGAAGCAAGTACTACTGCTGGATGTGTTGGAGGTCAAGCTGAAAGTGCCTTGTTAATGGGTGAAGATTATAATACTATGGTGAACAATATTGTGGATATGGGGTAGATATATATTCAATAAAAGAAAAAAATATATCTATGTAATTATTATTTTAATTATAATATCATGTATATTAGGTATGAAAGAGAACAAGTTGAACAAGCATTAAGAGCAAGTTTCAACAATCCTGATAGAGCTGTTGAATATCTTCTAACAGGAATACCAGCTCAACTTTTTGAAGATTTACCAGAAGATCAACTTGAAGCACAAGAACAACTTCAAGATCATGGTCAACATCCATTGGCATTCTTACGAATGCAACCTCAATTTCAACAAATGCGGCAAGTTATTCAACAAAATCCTCAGTTATTAAATGCTGTATTACAACAAATTGGTCAAACCAATCCTGCATTGTTACAACTTATTTCACAAAACCAAGAAGCATTTGTGCGTATGCTTAATGAACCTGGTTAGTTTCTATTTTTTATTAAAATAAAAATAGTTTATGATTTATCTGTTTATGAGTATATTTATGTTATTATATATCTTATTTTGGAGTAGTGGAAACTACTGGTGGTACTGGAGGAAGAACTACACCTGTATCTGCCTCTACTGTTACACCAGCAACTGCTCCTGGTGGTATAAGTGGAGGACTTGGCGCAGGTATAGGAACAGGATCAGATGTAGAAACTTCGGTAATTCAGGTAACACCTCAGGATAAAGAAGCTATTGAGAGGTTGAAGGCATTAGGATTTCCGGAACATTTAGTCGTACAAGCCTATTTTGCGTGTGAAAAAAATGAAAATCTTGCTGCTAATTTTTTGTTATCACAAAGTCTTGATGACTGAAGTAATATACTTCATTGATTTCATAATAAGGAGTCAAAGGACTGATATAGGGTGGGTAATTACACAGGCATTTTTTTACTTTCAACTGGTCATCTTTACTTTGTATATAATTATATGCACACATATTTATTATATTAATTCTCTAGTTAGTTGTTAATCTTATATTGGCATTATTTGATAAATGATAAAATTTTATTGAGAGTATATATCAGACTATTTCATGTGTTAAATTTTTTGTAGCTTTAAATTGTGTATTTCAAAATATATAAATTTACAACTTTTTTTAAGTATTTTGCGATTAAAGTTTGCTATTTTGCTATTAAGTGTTATATCCATCCTTGCAGTCTAAAAATTACTCTTTGGCAAAACTTTCTGTTTTTTGAATATATGGAACAGTGTAATTACATTTTTATGTAAGAAAGCCTGCTTGTTTTATGAATTATGATATACAAAGATATAAATACTTTGTATTTATATATGAAGATATTGTACAATTACACATACATATAAATTTGTATACACAAGTAAAGATATATGTGTATTCAAAATATATGTATGACAAGCATATTTTGTACATTTGATAGGCTTTCTAATATAAAAATTATGTAAGTGCATCCGTATATGTATGATTGCATATGTATATATGTGTGTACTTGCGTATAACTTGCGCCTATGTATGTATGTATAAAAAAAAGTCTTGTATTTTTTAAACAAAAGTGGCGAAAATAGTTATTCATTAATAACACATTATAAGTCATTTCATTTGTCACAAAATAACAAAATGTAAGAAATTTTGAAGTGAAAAAAAAATGAAAAGTTAAGTAACATATACGTATATTGTTTTAAATTTGTTTTGACCTCGATATCGATATCCATTTTTCATCTAAATAACTCAAATAACTTATGACTAGATATTAAGAAATCATACATGAATATCTTAAATAGATAAATACAAGGTGACTTACAAGAACTATAAATCTATAAAGAAAATTTGTAATTAACTTTCTATAAAAGTGAAGGCAATGAGATTATTATTATTATAAAAACGCATTCAATATGTTGTAGCCTTAACATAGTAATATGTAACTTATTAGGAATCGTTCGAATTTTTAAGATACTAGTACTGATATTAAAATTTTAGAAATATAGCACAATGTAAAACAAATACTATTGCAAAATTACATATTTAATAAATAAAAATGATGAGTCTAGGCACAAATGAATATATTAGTTTCCCTGTTTTTAAATGTATAAGTATAGTTAATATAAGTTAAGTCTTGAGTATTAGATTATAGTTTGATTTTATTATACATACATATGTATGTACAAACACATAGCTCTACATAAATAAACTATATGTTTTGATGTTTTGTTGTTAGATCGAATGTTTGTTATTATACAATTAGAGATTACCATTGAAGATTTTCGTGCTAGAGAGAGTTAAAATATATAAATCTTATGTCATATACGTCTTAATTTAATTTTCATTATTTTAAGTACCAAAAATAATAATGCATTACAAATAAAAATATTATTAAACAAAATCAAATTTTTATTATTGAGTTTTACTTATAATGAATAAAAGCTTTAAAATTTACATAAAAATAAAAAAAAAATAATTAGTATTATTCAATTATTATTTAATAAAAAACTTTTTTAAGCATTTTCTAATCTTAATAAGTATAAGAAAATATGTATAAATTCAATATTATTTGTAAATAGAAAACACTTGCTTATATTACAATTCTTTAATTTATGTAATTTAAATATTTTTTTTATTATAAAAAATATACATAAATATAATCTTTATATAAGATAAATAAGACAATTATATATTATTATATTATTTGATTCAGATAATATTGATTTTGAATATAAAAATTTCAATTCATTTACTTTTTAAAACTATACCTTTATTCTGAAGATCTTTTTTAGCTTCTTCTATTTGCTAAAAATATAAAATTTAGAAAAAATTTATCAATATTTGCTTATATTTTATATAACATTAATAAATACTATAGATATTTTTAAACATACTTCCTGTAATTCAATAGCTGCATGCTCACAATTGTTAAATGTGAAAACTCTATATAAAATAATAATAGCTGCATATAAACTACATATAAATAAAACAATGAGTGGAAAGAAAAGAACAACTTGTTTCCACTCTGCGATAAAAGATAAATTAACATTTTTAGTAATTGCAGCAATCCATATACCAAAAAATAAAGTAGCAAATAAAAGCCATTCCATTAATTTTGACATCTGCAATGAAATATATTTATATATATTATATATATTTATAAGAAAATATTTAGAAATTTTTTAGACAATAAATAGTTTTTTATAACTTCTAAAATATTATAATTATACAATATATAAAAAAATAACTTATATTTGTATACATGTAAAATAATTTATATTTTGTTTTTTACTTTTTTAAAGGTTAAAAAATATAAAAATTAAATATTGAAATTAATATTATATTGAAATCAATAAATATTTTAAAATTAGTAAAAAATAGCCATAATAATATAGTAAATATATAAATTCAATTTAAATTTACCTTAATTTTTAATATTAGAATGACAGACAATAAATTTTGTATGTATTTTTTATATATTATTTTGCATATTAATTATATTTTAATTTAATTTTAAATAATTATTTGCTATTTTTTATATCGTATAATAATAATAAATATGGTCCAGTTTATAATGATATACGAATGTATGACGTATATTGATTACGATATGTATCTAATTCTAAACTTCTTATTCTTCCATATGATAGCGCCACAATAGTGTTGTAATTTAAGTCGATGTTTTTTATTTTTAAAATATTCATTATATAGATTAAAATTATAGAATATTACAAAATATATGAATTAATATAGCAGATAATATGTTTTTATTAAATTGTTATAAATAATAAATTTGTAAAGTTATATTGTAATAATTTTTAATAATTTGTTAACTTATTCATAAAGTGATTTTTTTAAAAATTTTGGTATTTTCTTATATTTTGATTTTGATTGATATAACTTAAAATGTTAGTGTAATGACTTACAAATTTAATTTATACTTATAATTTATATTTAAAAATTTAATTTATATTGTTTATAACTTGATATCTAAATTATATAAATATATTCATTATTTTTTATATAATATTATATGTAAGATTTAAATAAGCATGCAAGTACAATTGTAATCAAAGAGAAACTTATTTCTTATTAGTTTTATTCTTATTTTAAAAATGAATTATGTAAAAAATATAAATTTAGTTATTAAATAAGTTACAATGTTGGATTAAAATTTGAAAAATATATATATTTTTATATTTTTACTTTGTATAAATTTCATTACATATGTATTTTTAGATATAAGGAAATGCTATACTTTATTTATAATATATTTTTAAGATGTTTTCATGTAGAAGAACTCAACTAAAGAATTTTATAAAAAATTATTATGAAAATATATATAAGAAATGTGATATTCAATCTATTTCTACAGACATGTAAGTATATTAATTGTTTTGTAAAAATACCCCAAAAATGTATATATATATTATATATTAAAAATAATAAAATATTTTTATAGAAGGGAATGGAAGCCTACAATAGGTTTAGAAATACATGCACAAATTTTAACAAAATCAAAATTATTTTCTGGAGCTTCTACAAATTTTAATTGTCCAATTAATTCTTCTGTATCATTTTTTGATTGCGCAATACCTGGTACAATGCCAGTAAATAAATATTTTATATATAAGTATTTTAAAATAGAGTAATTTAATAATTCCTTATTATATTATTTTTATAGGTATTAAATAAAAAGTGTGTAGAAGCTGGAATATTAACTGCTTTGGCTCTTTCATGTGAAATAAATGCTGTCTCAATGTTTGAGAGGAAGCATTATTTTTATTCTGATTTACCTGTAAATATAATTTCTATAAATAATGTTTCATTATCATCTAAAGTATAATTATTAAAAATAAAATAATGTATGATTTAAATTTTATTTATATTTTTTTATGTTTATTACATATAATTTTTTTGTAGGCAGGTTTTCAAATTACGCAACAAAAAAAACCACTAGCTGTTAATGGAGAAATTAAATTTAATGTATTTAAGCCTGAAATACATAAACAACCTTATACAAAATCATCAAAAATTAAGCAGATACAGTTAGAACAAGATAGTGGAAGAAGTTTTCATAATGAAGTTTTTGAAAGGTATCAATTTTTTTTTTTAATGATTAATAAAATAATTATGACAATACTTTATTTAATTTATTTCATTAAATAAAATTATTTCAATACTTTATTTCATTTATAACAGAAGTTTAATTGATCTTAATCGAGCTGGAATACCTTTAATGGAATTAGTTTTTGAGCCAGATTTAACAAATGGAGAAGAAGCAGCAGCTCTTGTGAAAGAACTTTGTTTTATTTTACAATTATTAGGCACATGTTCATGTAAAATGGAAGGTCATTTTATTTATACAATTTTTTTTATAAATAATAATAATATATTATAAATAATAGACAGTTTTGTGTTGTAGAAGGAGCCCTAAGAGTTGATGCAAATGTTTCTGTAAACAAATCTAATGCACCTTTAGGTATTCGTACTGAGATAAAAAACATTGGAAGTATAGGTGCTATCAATCGTGCTATAGAATACGAGATAAAAAGACAAATTTCTATTTTAGAAGCAGGAGGTCAAGTTACCAATGAAACTCGTGCATGGAATCCAATAGACAAAAAAACAATTCTTATGCGTGAAAAAGAAGAAAAACATGTAATACTATTTACATATAAACTATATTAGTTTATATTTACTTAATTTTTCTAATTTTTATTATAAGAAACATTGCATATTTATTATTGTTTAGGATTATCGTTTTATGCCTGAATCAAATTTGCTACCATTATATTTACACATTGATAATACGATGGAAAATAAATATAATCTAATTAATGTCCCATCTTTAAAAGAGCAATTACCAGAATTGCCAGAACAAATACGTCAAAAATTACAGAACAGCCTTACACCACATGTATTTATAGCAATAATGGTATGTTTAAAACATTTAAAATATCTAAAACATTATATTAATTAATTTTTATTTCTAGAGTGACTTAGAATTATATCTATTATTTCGTGATATTTTAAATAATGGTAAACATCGTAAGCCTCAGTTGGTGGCTCAAATTCTTATTTCTGAAGTATGTGCATTTATAGATGAACATAAATTGAATCTCGCATTTTGGTAAGTTTATTACAGTAAATTAAAGAAATATATTTATATAATGTGTTTTTAGTGTGTGTAATCAGAAATATATTGAAAAGACAATTGATTTATTACAAGCTAGAATAATAAATCAACATATACTAAGAAGATTGTTAAATAAATTACTTAATGAATCAAATAAGATGCCAGAACAGGTAAATAGAATTGAATTATTCTTATATTTTTATGTATATTAATATTTCTAATAATTCATAATTGATAAAATTTTTTCTTCATATAGATTGTTGAAGAAAATAATTGGTTTATGATATCAAGTGAAGAGAAATTAGAAATATTATGTTTAGAAGTACTTAAAAAAAATCCAAAATGGGTCAAAAAATATAAAAGAGGAAATAAAAAAATATTTAAAAAGTTTCTACATGAGGTAGTTACACTTACTGGAGGATGTGCAGAAATGGTCAAAGTTTCAAAAATTATGACAAAATTATTAAGTTAATTTCAAAATATTTCATTATTATCTCATTCGTTTTTATAATAAAAACATTTAAATAATAACTTTATAAATGATTAGAAGTTCTTATTTTTTAACATATTTACACATCATCACATTAAAAATATTATACGAAATATATGTAAGTAATTTTTTTAACATTTATTTTTTATAAATTGCAATCACAAATATAAAATCAAATATGAAATAAATATCTTTGATTTAACAAATTGACTCTTATACAACTTCAAAACTTAATTTGAACTTTAGCACAAAATTTTATTTTTAACAATATTAATATATTATAAAATATTTCACAAAAATTTTAGATCACATTTACTAACTTTCATTTATATAATATGTGATCTTGAGAATGGGACATGCTTATTATAATTGTACAACATACAATAGTAGAATCAATCTTTATCACATGAATAAATTTTTAAAGATTTAATCATTTCATGCTGTTCATGTGAAATATTAAATATAATTTTATAAATATATTATGGAAATGTATTGATACAAAATGAATTATGAAATCAACACAAAACTAAATGTTACAAACAATTATTAGATTTAATTAGCGATATATATATATATATATATATATATATATATATATATATACACAC